GGGTGACCCCATCCCCAGCCCTCCCACTGAACAGATGTTGAGTTTTGGCTTTGGCTGCCACGTTCCCATTCCGTTCACGTCTCATCTCCTTTCATTCCAGGTGAATTTCCTGAGTTACGTGGCCTTGGCATCTGCAGCTCTTCCCATCTTGGCTGAGAGTAAAGGATCTCTGATTGTGGTTTCTTCCCTCACAGGTCAGTGCTTGAAACCTGCACAGAGCTGTGGCTGATAAAGATGCAATGCCTCAGCTTGTTCCTGAATGAGTTTCTAAGCCCCGCCTGCAGCAGTCTTCAGAATTGCAGTGTGAATGGGACTCGGCCCTTGCTGGGGCGTCTCTGGATTACATCATTTCATGTTCCTGTAGGGCTTCCCACCTTCAGAGCACTTCCTGGGGCATATACCCACAGCTGTGGCCGAGTATATGGGAGGGCAGCAGCCAAACCACCACACTAGATATTTTGGCCAAGAGCGTGAACTGATTGCTACAGGCGGGGGACAGCCCGAACAGCAAGGAATCTTTCCCGCCCACATGCATGACGATTGTCCTGGTGCATTATGGGATTGGATGTTTCCGTCTTCTGATGCATCCACTGCTGGAGATGAGGAAACTTGTCTAGCTGGAGCAATGGTCTGATGCAATGTAGCAAATCCTCTGTTCTTATGTATTCCTTCCAGGGGGTTCTCTCCCAGCTGTGCCCTCACCCTCAGTCAGGCTCTGCCAGACGTTTCACTTGGTTTCCTCTCCTCGTGTTTTCCTTTCTAGGGAAAATCTCAACTCCCTTCACAATCTCTTACTCCGCCACCAAGTTCGCTCTGGACGGATTCTTTAGCTCCCTGCGCCATGAGCTCGCCATGCAGAAGCAAGATGTGTGCATCACCCTCTGCATCTTGGGGCTGATCGACACCGAAATGGCTTTGGAGAAGACGAGGTGCGTGTGTGTGCACAAGAATGGGTGCGCATGTATGTGGGCGTTCGCACGTGTGCAAGAGAATGTATGGTGCGAGAATGTTTGCATCGGTGTGTGTATTCCTGCGTGGGTGTACATGAGTGTGAGTGTAGCGTGCACACGTCTGTGTATGTATTAGTGCGTTCATGGATGAGTGTGGAAGGGTGTGCGGGCATGAGCGTCTGGATACGTGCATCTGGGTGGATTGGTGCACGCATGTGAGTGTGTACAGCCCTGTGGAGCTGGTTTGCATCTTTCACTCCTGAGATGTCCGTTCGCACAGAGCAGGCCAGCGCGGTGACGGGGGGGTTGTATGACCGGGTCATTGTTCCCTTCCAGGGGCAAAGTGTACATGAGCGCCTATCCCGCTGCTGAAGCCGCGCTGACCATCATCAAAGGCGGAGCCACCAGGGCACGGGAGGTGTTCTACCCCTGGTGGCTGGAGCTGCTGTGCCACCTGCGGGATTGGTTCCCCAACCAGAGGGATGTCGTTATACAGAGCTTCTATAACTACACCAGCGCCTGAGGGATGCAGAGCTGCCATTCCCTTCGCCCTGCAGATACAGGCGCAAGGCCCTCGCCTCCTGCTGAGGTCAAGGTCAGCCATTGGCTTCAGTGCGAGCAGCTTTGGGTTCTGGAACAAAAAATGTCAAGAAATCATTGGATAAGGGTCCAGTAGCAACCTTAGCTCTGATCCCTCCTCTGTCCCCATCAACCTTATCTCTCACCCCTCCTCTGTCCACATCAACCTTAACTTTGACCCGTCCTCTGTCCCCATCAACCTTAGCTCTGATCCCTCCTCTGTCCCCATCAACCTTAACTTTGACCCGTCCTCTGTCCCCATCAACCTTAGCTCTGACCCCTCCTTTGTCCCCATCAACCTTAGCTCTGATCCCTCCTTCATCCGTATCAATGTCTGACCCTTCCTTCCTCCCCATCAACCAGTCTCTAACCCTTCTTCCATCCCCATCAACCTTAACTCCGACCCCCCTCCATCCTTTTGAACATCTGACTGCTCCTCCCTTCCCATCAACCTTAACTCTGACCCCTACTCTGTCCCCATCAGCCATAACTCTTTACCCATTCTGCTCCCTGTTTATATTCCATGCATGCTCCAAAGACCTTACACAGTCGTCTGACCAACGCTGCCTCAGCTTCTCATACCCCTGCCCCTTGCCGCGTTGACTCCAGCCTCTGCGGCCTCACCCATCCATTCATATGGGCTGGAGTCTCCCCTTTGCCCCAGCCCACGATGTCCCAGGGCTAGGGATAAAGACTCCCCATTTCTCCGATGCAGGATAGAAACCATCCTCCCAGCTGTGTCACCCCCACCTCAAAGACAATCCCCCCTCCTCCGTAGGAGACAGACCTTCCCAGTGGGGTAAAGCCTGGAGTCCCTCCCACCCCGTTCTAAGGGCTCAGGGCCCTGGGATTGGCGAGCAGGGGGCTTGGACACCTTTCCGGAGGGACATATGTTCACCATAAAAGATGGACGATGGCCCCTTCCCCAACCCCAGGCCAGCTCCATTCGGCCTCTTCTCCCCTTCCCTTCTTGGCCAATAAGACATGGGTGCTAGCCCAGAAGTCCCCCTTGTGTGCGAGTCAGGGGTTTCCCCCGGCTATCACTGAGCAAGGAGAAAGTGGGGTGCTCCGCTCGGGGATGGGGGGATTTGCTTGGAGGTCTCTCCCCGGCCTGGTTGGCCAGAGCAACAGGCAGAGACAATGCTCCCAGCTCCTGCCCCCTGCTGGCTGGTAATGAAAGGGAATGCAGAAGAACCAGTATGCGCCCAACATGTGACCACATCCTACCGGCCGGGTTCAGGGTTCAGCCAGCACACCCTTCCCAGCTGCGCTCTAAGCTCCTTACCCAAATGCAGGTGGAGTCAACAGGATCAGGACCCAGTGGCCTGATTGTCACCAGCACCAGCCACCATAGGCACCAACTTTCCCCAGCGCTGGTGGGAGCTTGCGCCCCCCTGCCCCCAACCCCACCCT